AAAGAAAAAAAAAAGGGAAGTAACTTTTAAATAAAAAAAAAAAAAAAAAAAAAAAGAAAAGCTCAAAAAAGAAAAGCTTAAATTAAAAATAATTTAAGTGTATAAAAGTGCATGATATACATAAAGGTATATTTCATAATATTATGTTTGTATGTCTGAATATGCTTGTTTGCATAGTGATAAAATATGAATGAATAGCATTATGCTTTAAAAGTGGTTGCTAAGAGCGACTATTATTTGAGTGCAATATTCAACTTTTTAGATTTCAACAATTATCACATATATTTCTTTAACAGATGGCGGAAAGTGTCCGTGTCATTTGTCGTTGTCGACCGTTAAATAAACGTGAAGTAAATCTTAATTCACAGGTAAATAATTTGACCATTTTATTTATTGCCATTCCCTTTTTCTTTCCTTTTTCCTTTTTTTTTTTTTGTCTGCTAAATAATGGTGAAGTAAATTTTAATTCACAGGTAAATAATATCAAATATTTTAAACATTTTCTTTTTTTCTTGTTATTTATTGTCATTCTTTTTCCTTTTTTTTTTTTAGTATCTTTATTTATTCCTTTTATTTGCATCGTTATTGTTTGTTTAATAATTAATTGAAATTATTTTTTTGGCAAAATATTTATTGATAACGTTGTGTTGTTTTTTGTTGTTGTTGTTGCTGTGTTTTTCTTTTGTTTTTTTTTTTCCCTCAAAGAAGAGATGAAGATTATAGTAATTAATATGAACAAAATTCTAAATTTACATTAATTTATTACAAATTTTGTTGAATGTTAATAAAAGAAATACATTTTCGTTTCATTTTAAAAGTTTCAAGAATTTGAGAGAATGACGGAGGACGATTGAAATATTCTTGGATTTAAAATTTTGAAATTTTAATTAAATTCCGAGTTTTTCTTAATTCCGGATTTATTTCGTAAATGTAATTAAGATGTGAAATAAAATGGTTAAAATTTTGTTGAACGTTATTTTTCTTGATTAGTTAAAGTTATATTTCCGCAGTAAATAAATGGCTGAATTGTATTTTACGGAAGATTTGGCAAATTTTCTTGTTACAATCATAATTTTTACAATTAATTAATGTGTTTGCATCATTACTTAACTTGAACCTATGTAACAACATTTCATATATATGTAAACATATCTTTATTCATCTTTTAGGGGTTAAAATGAATTTTCGATCAAAAAATGAGTTAAGAATATAGGAATTCACTTTTATTAATTAGTGATTAAAAAATTTCCTCTCGAAAAAATTGAAAAAAGTACGAGCATTAATTAATATAAAAAATTTTATATTTGTGTTTTGGTTTCATTTTTTCGCGTCGATTTTAAAATTTTCATTTTTAAGTTAGAAATGACTTTTCATTATGAATGTTATCCATTAGATGTGATTTCAAGTCTTGCTAACAACATTTTTCTTTTTTTTTTTTTTGTTTTTTTTTAATAATTCAAAATAATTTATTGGACAAATGAAAAGTAAGTGAAGCGATAAAATGATCCCATTTAATCATTATTAATAAAACCATTATGCTTAGGATAGTTTTCATTTTTTTTTCCAAATTTTTTTTTAGAAATTTAAAATAAGTTTTGAAATTTAGATATGTGTACAAATGGATCAAAGTTGTGGGCAGGTGATATTACAAGGTGAAACTGGCTGTCCGAAACAGTTCACATTTGATGGTGTTTATTATATGGATGCTACAGCCGAGCAAATTTATAATGAAATTGTTTATCCGCTTGTTGAAGTAAATTAATCATATCATATTTTAGCAAATTCTTTATTCGATAATAAAATTTGGGAATGAATTAAATTTAATAATATAATATTTCAATAATTTTTCAACTATTTGACACAACAAAGTTTGTTGCCAATTTATTTTATAAATTTTAAAATTGAAACTATCAAAGCATATAGTTTTTAGCAAAAAACAAAAAAACAAAAACAAAAAATACATCTTTTGTAAAAAGCGGCAAACATAAAGAATAAATTTTGTTAACTTAGGCTTTTTATTGATAAGAAAAGCATATCTAGTATTAAAAACCATTGAAATATTTGGCAAAGTGAAATTAGTATAAAATATTTTGATAAAAAAAAAAAGTAAATATAATAATAAGTAGCGGAAGGAAGAAAAATTTCAATTAATTTTTTTTTTGATTATTTATTTCATAAATACTAAATGATAAATTGATATAAAATAATTTTGCTGTTTTCTTGTTATATATGCACAATTTAATTAAGCAGAAATTTGATATTAATATTTTTATCGTATTGATATTATGCGGATTTTTCTTTGTTATTTTTGAATTACAACTTTTTGTTCCTATATAAGTTACTTTATAAACTATTTAAATTATTCAAAATGCTTCAAAGTTTTTTAGAGCTTATTTTATGAAATTAATTAAATTAGTTTAATTGCATTTTTTTTTTTTACAGAATGTTATTCAAGGATATAATGGTACAATTTTTGCATATGGTCAAACAGGTTCCGGTAAAACTTATTCAATGCAAGGTAATGATAATATCTCATCTCAAAAAGGTATCATACCACGAGCATTTGAACATATTTTTGAAGCAACAGCAACAACAGATGATGCTAAATTTTTGGTGCATGCATCATATTTAGAGGTTTAATTTTAAATTCTTTTCATTTTATTTAATTTAAACTGCTTTCATTAATTTAAAAAGGTTTAATTTAAATTCTTTTCATTTTATTTAATATAAAACGCTTCTATTAATTTAAAAAAGGTTTACTATTTAAAATGCTTTTAATTTTAGAAAATTTTGCAAAAATTTGATATTATAAATGAAAATTATAAAATTTTAAAATTTACAAAATATTGTTTGGTATATTTCATTAAAACAATTTTTTTTTTTAATAGTTTATGATATATTATATAATAGCAAATTTAGATTTAAATTTAAAATTAAATTTAAATTTGATAACATTTATAGATTTATAATGAAGAGGTACATGATCTATTGGGTACAAATCATACCAAAAAATTAGAAATCAAAGAGCATAGTGAACGTGGTATATATGTTGCGGGATTATCCATGCATGTATGTCATGATTATAAGGCTTGTCAACGATTAATGAAGGAAGGTTCGGAGAATCGTCATGTTGGAGCAACATTAATGAATAAAGATTCCTCACGATCACATTCAATTTTTACGGTTTATGTTGAAGTAGCGCTTAATAATGGTTCTATAAGAACGGGAAAATTAAATTTGGTAGATTTGGCAGGCAGTGAAAGACAAGCAAAAACTGGTATTTGTTTTTTTTTTTTTTTTTTTTATTGAATATGAATTAAAAATATTTATTAATATTGAAATTTTAATATAAATTGTTGTTAAAATTTAAATTTCATATAAATAATTAATTTGATAAGAAAAATGAAAATGATATTAGAATTAAATGAAAATAATGGAATTATTATTATTAATTTTTTTTTTTTAAAGGTACTACTGGTGATCGTTTCAAGGAAGCAACCAAAATTAATCTTTCATTATCTGCATTGGGTAATGTTATATCAGCTTTTGTAGATGGTAAATCAAAGCATATTCCTTATCGTGATTCAAAATTAACACGATTATTAAAAGTAAAATTACTATAATTATTGTTTTAAATCATCTATTTTTTTTTTTTGAAAATTATTACGTAATTTTATAGTTATTAATAAAATCTAGTTTAAATATTTCTTTAATAAATTGTACAAAACTATCAAGTATATCATTTAAAAGTTTTAATTACGATTGCATAAATGATATTTTAATTAGGAATGAAAAAATTAGCTAAGCATTGACTGATTAAATAATTTCACTTATATAGATTATAATGTATCAATAAGATAAGAAGTATTTTCTTTTTTTTTTTTTTATAAGACGATAAATTCTTTGATAATTTTTTCGTTGTTTTTTTTTTTTGTCCGCTCTGTCAGGATTCGTTAGGAGGAAATATGAAAACGATCATGCTCGCTTGCATATCACCTTCCAGTGATAACTATGATGAGACACTTTCGACTCTAAGGTTAGTTAATAAATTATTATTAAGTATTTCGAAAAAATAAAGAAAGGTTACGGTATCTTATTATAAGCAAACACTGATAGCATACCATAATTTTGATTTTAATTTTTTTTTAAAAAAAAAAGTTAGAAATTACATGTGGTACAATTTTTTTTTTTTTTCTCCTTTCTTTTTCTCTTATCAACCTTTATATGAAAGGATAAGATTTTATGTTATTGATTTCTTTTTTTTTCTTTTCTTTTCAGATATGCAAATCGTGCGAAGAATATTAAAAATAAGCCTAAAATTAATGAAGATCCAAAGGATGCATTACTTCGTGAGTATCAAGAGGAAATTCAACGGCTTAAAGCTATGATACAAGGCGGTAATTGTGATTTATATTTCATTTGATATTTGATCAATGTTAGGATAAATTGGAATATGTTAGATATGTGAAATGAAGCTAACATCAGTAAGCAATTTGAATGATTGACTAAAAAGGTGCTAGTTAAATTGTCAAATTCAGGAAATTGTTGGGTAAATTTTCATTTTCATATAAAATGCGATCGTTAAAATTACATCTAGGGATATCAAATTAGCATTTTAATTGTTTGAATGAAAATTACAATGTGTAATAGGAGTTGTTAAGTAAATAAGGAATAATAAAAAATTGTAAAGGTGCTTTTTATGATTAAAGATTGCAAAAAAAACAAAAAAAAAATTATTTATGAAAAAGTAATAATAAATAAAAGAGATAATAAACAAATGAAATGTAATTTCGATGAAATAAAACAATAAAAATTGATTAAAATTTTTTTTTTGAAATAAATATTGACAAAAATTAATAATATATTATACAAAATGATAATAATAAACAAACGTGTAACATTTTCTCTTTTTTTTTAATTTGAATTAAATTATAGATAATAATATGCATACGAATTCAAATGAATTAGATGAAGAACGTGAACAATTGAAAGCAGAATTTAATGCAGCAATCAATGAACTACGATTACAGTATCAAAATGAACAAAAAAGTAAAGCAAAATTACAAGAAGAATATGCAGCATTAAAGGAACAATATGAGAAAGCATCAGAAGCATTAGAATATGATCATCATTTAGATGTTGGTGAAGCAAAGAAACGATTACAAATTTTAGAAAAACAATTTGTTGGTGGTGAACAAGTTCGTTCATTTCAATTTACATTCATTAATTTTTTTTTTTTATTGAAAAAAAATTTTAATCTTACTATGAGAAAAAAAAATGGTATAATTTAAAAATTTTTTATATTTTCAAAAATTATAGGCAAATAATGAAGCGCTTAAAGAACAACGACAGATTAAAATGAAGGAAGCAGAAAAGAAAATGGAACGACTTGCTGGTAAATTCTTTTTTTTTTTTCCTCTTAAAATGATAGAAATTTTTTTATCGAACCTTTTCGTAATGTATGAGAATTTCAATCATGAAATGTCAAGAATATATTGACAATGTAATATGTTGTATGTTGTTATAAAATTTAGCTAATATTTGATTATTTCATTCTTTTTTTTTTTTTT